TGTGGCACAAGGCCGAAAGTATGGGCACCCAGTGAGGATCGAACTCATTACTCAGTCGTAATTGTTCTAGCGAGAAAAGCTTGCTAACAATTACACCGCTTCGAGTTGCCCACCCACGTAGAGTGATATGCCGTAAAACAAAACAAATTTACCAACCAGCCTAGGAAAAATCCGTATGTCATCCTGGGCCTGTATCGACAGATAATGGTCTTCCCAAACGTAACAGGACAACCGTTCAGAGCAAGACTATAGAAAGATTACAACATGGATTTTTGTCGTTGTGGTTGAGAGTTTTGGCGGGATTCGGATGTAGAAGAGAAGGAGAATGAGAAGTCTACGGCAGGTAGTTTACAATGATGCATAATGCCTGGAAAATAAATTGAAAACTCACGAGTTTAAAAACAAAAATGGAGACACTTAACTCGTCTAGAATGACGGTAACAGCATGTAACATCCGGGCACTACGTGACGTACCTAAATTTGATCCGCTTCCGTCATTATACAGATGTTTAGCGGAGGGCATTTCCGCGGATGGGGGTGTAGGAGAAACAATTTATTTTTATGGCGTCAACATCTTATCATATTTCAAATCGTTGATCGGTATCAACCATCAAAATAATACAGAATGTATTTGTGAGAATAAACAAAAAAAAAAAAAAAAAAAAAAAAAAAAAAAAACAGCTACTCGGAAAGTGAATTTGCCATGTCGTGAATTGTTTCACTTCAGAATCTGTCTTTCATCTTTATAGCTTGACCATTCAACCATGTATTGAATATTACGGCTTCTGCTGTGGCGATTTTCTAAGTGTAGCTCAGATGTGGCACAAGGCCGAAAGTATAGGGGCACTTAGTTAAGATCGTACTCCTTATTCAGTCGTAAATGATCTAGCGTGGCAAGGTTGCTAACCATTACACCCCATCGAAATGATTTTCTAAGCATAGCTTAGATGTGGTACAAGGCCAAAAGCGTGGAGCCTTCAGTGTAGATCGAACTCCCTACTCAGTCGTATTTGTCCTCGCGAGACAATCTCGCTAACCATTACACCACGTCGCGGTACCCTGATGCTTCTGCTATGCATCTAGAAATTCTGAACTAAATCCAAAGAAGAATCTGAAATGTTATCATTCCTGACCTGGCATCTCGGCTTCAATAACTTTGCCACCACTATAACATTGCTTCACTCTCTCTTTTCTTTCCTCTTTGGGAGCTCGACTTTATGAATTTAAGCTTAGTACTCGATTAGTGTTACATTCCCTTATGCGCAAATACCCTGTGTAAAGGTATAATAGTTCTATTTTCTCCCCTCTTATGGGTTGAACAGTAAGACAGGCTGGAACCTATAGCCTTTGTTGACAACAAGTCTACCCAAGAAAGGACAGAAAGAACACAAAGGAACGGTAACCATATTGCTTGAAAATCCGCGCATTCAAGCTTACAGCATCTGGTATTCTCAAGCGGTCACCCATCTTTGTGCTGATCAGGATAGACGTTGCTTAACTTCAGATATCGTGCAAGACCCAGTGTTTCAACATGATGTGATCGTAAGCCAGTGGTATTTTGGTAGGTGTAGTAAGGATGTCATGCAAGAACGTAGCATTATGGTGAATGGAACATTATCGAATGAGTAGTTTACTGATTAAGACTATTGGATTCCAGTTGAATTCGTTATATTCACTTACGCGCAATTAACCTTGGGAAAGCTATGAAGGCATCTCTTCTACCCCAGCTATGGGTAGCAGAGATGGATTCATATCTTTCCTCTGCCTAGTAAATCATGATACGAAAGAGACATGATCGCCGAATCGTGCATCACGTATGGCACTTTGACTAACTTTATCTCTTCTCCTCTCAGCTATGGGTTGAATAGCAGGGCAGACTGGGTCCTATAGCCTTGGGTGGCAACTAGTCTACCGCAGAAAGTAACGGCGACCTACTGTAGGGAAAACCTTCTGCCTAGTTAGTCATGAATCTAAAGAGACACGATCGACCAAGCGTGTATTACGTATGGCACTTGCCTGACTTTATCTCTTCTCCTCCCGGCTGTGGGTTGAATAGCAGGACTGACTGGGTCTTATAGCCTTGGGTGGTAACCAGTGTACCGCTGAAAGAAACTGCAACCTACAGGAAATTATTCTACCTAGTCAGTCATACATCTAAATAGACATGATCGCCCAGGCGTGTATCATGGATGGTAGACTAGATGAAGGGCTAGCCCTCATCGTTTTACTGATTAAATTTCTCAATGTAATTGTTAATTATATTCCAATAGTTTCTTTTTCTCGCACGTCTAGCCTGTGGCGCTCTTTACGGCTTCTTGCTTTCCTATCAACTATGACCTTCAAAAGTTGAAATTGATCGTCAATCGTCATCTGTGTTTTGAATCATATTTTTTTCATTGTCATTTCTATTTAACGTTTTCTCAGTTTCTTTCGCTCTTAGTAAAACCCTAGCTTGTTAATGTGAGGCGAAATGAATACAAAAAAATCTCTTCTCTCTTCTAAGCCTGTGAAGGTCTTTTGTTGGACTTGGGTGTCTTCCAGATTCAAGGAGAGTAACGATTTATTACTCTCCCACTCTGACCCAATGCGCGCTGGTAGGAGTGACACGCTTGAGTGACCCTGTCTCATTTTCAATTCATGATCGCCTAAGGGTATTTGCGTAAGTGAATGTAACAATCCTGACTGAAAATCGAACTCTGCTCCTCATGAGCCGTTATCCATTACACCACCCGCGCATCCAAGCTTACTGCACCTGGTATTTCAAAACGGTCACGTGTTTAGGCACTGACCAGGGTGGATGTCGATTAAATTTGGTTGGAGAACCGCTGTTTCGACTTGATATGGCCGTAATCCTGACAAAAAGAAAAAAAAATAAGCATACGGTCTTGAGAAATGCTTTGCGGGACCCTCTGTAATAATCCGACTGCCTCTTAGGATATAAAATAATTTGAGTTCGAATATTTAAGATTCTAATCCACAATCAAGGCTTCCTTTGAGGTTCATCTTTAACTTGGTATAGAATTTGACTCTTGATTTTGAATCAAGAAATTTGCAATAATTTATGTCTCATTAAAATCCATATTTTTACATTAATCTCGCAATTTATGCTTATAACAGTTCCCTCCCTTGGCCAGGTAGTTTGAATTTGAGCTCAATGGGAAACAGAGTAAGCACTAACTGAGCAGTACTAAAAATAAGAACACGTCGGGATATCCCTAGACATGGGCAGTGTAAAGAGAAGAGTCTACCACATGAAGATTAAATAAAAGGTTCAGTTCGAAATTTCTTGTAAGTTACCCCGATCGACATACACCTGATGAGAGTACAACAGCCGAAACGCTGTGATAACAACAACAAAGATGAGGAAAATAGTCCGAATGTAAACAGTGTAAATAATAACCCCTCATCCCAGAAATTCTGACAGAAATTCTGAATATATTATAAGTGTTATAAATAATATTTATTACTAACCCTCATTAACCACTACTAAACATATCTAAGCATCCAAATTTATGAATAATAACATTAATAATTTGTTCTTGACGGACATGTTAGTCGAGAGGAAGGCGTGAAAAAAGGACTAATGATTAAATATAAGAATATAGATTGGTTAGTTATCCACGCAAGAGACACCCCAATGTATGAGCTAAGTCTTGGAGTAGTGAAAACCAATCAGAAATTTAACGATGTGGATCTGTAACAAATAACATAAAATATGATACAGAAATAGGTATGTAGAAAGATGTCTTCCTGAAGCTAAGCAAAGTATTAAGAGATAAAAATCTAAATTTAAAAAGATATGCCGTTCTACCGACAAATGTCCTTATAAACAAAGAAAATGCTGGACTGCTATGTAATACCTAATCACCTATATGGCAGTGAATGCTGGACAATCTCCTTAAAGCCGAAGAAGAGACGTGAAATACGAAGAATTACGAGGGAATATCTAACCTGTGATTTGTATATAACAGCTATCTCAGATCAATAGTTAAAAATAGATCGAGTTAATGAAGTCTGTAGGTTTTCGCGAGGAGCACGCTTCTTTGAACCCTATTGACTAGCGTTACAAAATAACAAAGAACTGTACCAAATAACAGAAACCACATCACTTGAAAATTTACAACAACAATTACAACAAAATGGATATCAAGTCGAAGTGAAAAAATAGCATAACCAAGATGTTAACAGGAAGCAAAAAGTTTCTGAAACATTTAATAAGGAAAGACGGCTTGGAGAAGTTAACATTCAAAAGATATAATTAATGCAAGAGAAGCAAGGGGAAATAGTAAGTAAGGTACTTAACAAACTTGAGTGAATGGATTACAGTTTTTTTTAGTAAAATGTTCATCTAGTACGAGGCGCAAGAGCCGCACAAGGTAGAAGGCTACTGAATGAAGGCTGCAAAAGGAGGCAGAAAGTGTAGATTATGAGGATATGTAGGATAGACAATGGATGACCCTAGAGGATTGTAGTGATCAGGAAAGTAAGATCTCGAGAGTCTGTTCCACAAAGTAACATTTCTTGGGAACTTCTTCCTTATTAATGGAATATGAATGGAATAAAGATGATTCGAACCTGTGTACGTGGCATGACAGGCACTAGCTGAAAAGGTCTGAACTAAGCCGAAAGTAGTGATATAGTAGCGGTGAGCTTGTGATCTTTCGGATGTGGGGTAAAAGGCGATGAGGGGTTGAAAATAATCACCTACAAGACTGCCTGAAAACTTTTGAGCTCTGTCAAGGTTGGAAACTGTGCATCGTTTCAGCTTCATTCCGAATATGGCAGCAATATTCCATTTTTGGTCTGATTTGGCTCTGAGAGAGAGAGAGAGACAGAGAGAGAGAGAGAGAAGATATAAGCGAATGACCTAACGAGCTTTTGGGAAATATATTCGATAGCGAATGGTAGCGATAGCAAAAAATAGAAACTTCACTAAGAACTACAAAGGATAGGAAATTGTGGAGGGCCATGATTGCTAACATTCGGTAGGGACATGGCACAGAAGAAGAAAAAGGAGGTGGAGAAAAAGAGGAAGAAAAGAAGAAGAAAAACGAAAGTGGAGAAAAAGGAGAAGAAAAAGAAAAGAAGGAGAAGAAGAAGGAGAAAAAAGAAAATAAAGAAAAAGGAGAAGATGGAGGAAAAAAGAAAAAACGAAGAAGAAGAAGGAGTGGAAGAAGAAGGAGAAAGAAGGCGAAGAAGAAGACGAAGAAGAAGAAGGAGGAGAAGGAGAAAAAGAAAATAAAGAAGAAGAAGAAGAAGAAGGAGAAAAAGAAAAAGAAGACAAAAAAGAAGAAGAAAGAGAAAGAAGAAGTAGGAGGGGGGAAGAAGAAGGAGAAAAATGAAAATAAAGAAGGAGGAGAAGAGTGAGAAAAAAGAAAAAGAAGACGAAGAAGAAGAAGGAGAAGGAGAAGGAGAAAAAGAAAATGAAGAAGAAGGAGAAAGAAGAAAAAGAAGACGGAGAAGAAGAAAAAGAAGAAGAAGAAGAAGAAGAAGGAAAAAGAAGGAGAAGAAGAAGAAGACGAAGAAGAAGAAGAAAGAGAAGAAGAAAAAGGAAAGAGAAAAAAGAAAATAAAGAAGAAGAAGAAGAAGAAGAAGAAGAAGGAGAAAAAAGAAGACAAAGAAGAAGAAAGAGAAAGGAGAAGGAGGAGGAGGGGGAGAAGAAGAAGGAGAAAAATAAAGGAGAAGAAGAAGAAGGAGAAAAAAGAAAAAGACGAAGAAGAAGGAGGGGGAGGTGAAGGAGAAAAAGAAAATAAAGAAGGAGAAGAAGAAGGAGAAAAAAGACGAAGAAGAAGAAAGAGAAAGAAGGAGGAGGAGGGGGGAGAAGAAGAAAGAGAAAAAATAAAGAAGAAGAAGAAGAAGAAGAAGAAAGAAAAAGAAGACGAAGAAAAAGGAGGAGGAGGAGACGGAGAAAAAGAAAATAAAGAAGAAGGAGAATGAAGAAAAAGAAGACGGAGAAGAAGAAAAAGAAGGAGAAAGAAGAAGAAGAAGGAGGAGAAGGAGGAGAAGAAGAAGGAGAAAAAAGAAAATAAAGAAGGAGAAGATGGAGTAGAAAGAAAAAGTCGAAGAAGAAGGAGAAGAAGAAGGAGAAAGAAGGACGACGAGGAGGAGGAGGTGAAGAAGAAGAAGAAGAAATCGAATGAAGAATATTGAGACAGACAAGCAAGTTTCTTGTGCCATTTTCTGCAGTGTGACTCTTGTCATATTTTGTTGGTGTTGGATGAAAAGCAGTCAAAAATGTAGATGTCACGTGATAACGATGCCATTTCAAGTTATATAATTGTTGTGCACCCGTTAGAACCTTGGCAGTGTCATAACTGCGCAGACGGGACAAGTTAAATTATAGTTTGGATTAAAGAACCTCTCGTGACCATTCCGTGACACCAAACACATTCATGTACGCATGCGCGTACATCAGCGTGGGAAAGAAGCGAAGCATTTGTACAGACATGCCGACCGATATGGTACTCTTGATAATGACGCAATATGGCCGACAGCTTTCCCGCCTCAAGACAATACAGGCGGAATGTAGATAGCATTGTAGACTGTAAGACAGGAACACCAGCTGGGAAGAAGCGTTTTGAAAAACGAATACCAGATATGGAAGACGAGAAGAGAAAAACCAGGAGAAAAGAAAGATGCAAAGATAGAATGTAAGAGAAAGAGAGAAAGAAAAAGGAATGGAAAAAAGGAGAAAGTTAAGAAGAAAAAAAGGCAGGAAAGATATTTTTTTAAAGCATTTCACTCCAAGCAAGGCGGGAGTGCCACTAGCACGCAGGGGTTACAGAGGATTGAGAACAAGAGAAAAGAGGTGTGTTTGAGGAAAGGATAAAGAGAAGGACGGGGAACAGGATCACAGCATCAGAAGATGTCAATTGACATTACATTTGAATATTTGATGATGATAGCTATCAGGGAAGTAAGAGGAAAGGAGTTCCACAGACGGGAAGTGCGAGATAAGAAGCTGTTTGAGTAGAAGAGACGGTTACATTTAAATGTTTCGACAGTGAAAGGGTGAGAGCGAGATGCCAACCTAATTGCTCGCTTAAATTCACGCAGTCTGCGAATCAGCGATAGTAGCTCGTCGGGACAGTTGCTGTGAAAATACTTGTAGAAGTGAAAAGGGAAGCCACGACACATCTGTGAGAAAGTGACTGTAGACGAGATGCCAGATCAGCACCTATCACGTTGCATATCCGTATCTGGATTTTGTTGAGGACCTCGAGACGTACGGCGGGGTCAACAGACCATATATGGCAGCATTTCATGCAAGGACGGATGGTTGATTTATAGATTTGAACGATGGAATCAGACGAGAAAAACTTTCTGGCACGACACGGAAAAAAGAAAGTTGATAGACATGTTTATTTAGAAAAAAAGCCACAAAATTAAAAACAAACAAACAAAAAACCCCAAGAGAACGAGGGATTAAAGAAGCAAATAAAAGAAGAAAAATATGCTTCATAAAGAATAATAATGAATAAAGAAATCAGTTAAAAGAATGAAAGATAGCGCATCAAAACCAGACGAAGAAGGAAAAGAACAAAGAAGAAAAAAAAACAGAAAGAAAATAGGAATCATGTAAAAAAATAAAATAAAATTTTATACATTGAAGGCGTTTTATATTCATCACTAAAAGGCCCAAGAGCCACTAAAGGTAGAGACTTACTGTCTTTAATCGGCTTATTTGGGAAAATAATTTGTCAGAAATCAACCTAAATGTAGGAAGTAGGAATTGAAAATTACGAGGATATGGTGAATAGATAACAATTGACTTGAGTAGTTAAAGTATTCTGGAAAGGGAATCAGAACACGAAAAAATGAGAAATGAAATGGAAAAAGGAAATAAACAATAAAATGTAAAAAAGACAGACAAAATAAGAAAAGAAAGAAAGAAGGAAAAACAAAATAAAAAATGAAAGAAAGAAAACAAAAAAAGAAAGGAAGAAGGAAATCAAATAAAAGAGAAAGAAAGAAAACAACAAATAAAACAAAGATGGAAACAAAACAAAAATGAAAGAAAGAAAAAAGGAAAACAAAATGAAAGTGAAAGAAAGAAAGAAGAAAAAGAAAATAAACATGAAAGTAAAAGGAAAACAAAATAAAAAAGAAAGAAAGAAAACAAAATAAAATCAAAAAGAAATAAAGAAACCAAAAAATGAAAGAAGGAAGGTAAACAAAATAAAAATGAAATAAATCAAGAAGGAAATAAAGAAGGAAAACAAAATGAAAAATGAATGAAAGAAAACAAAATTGAAAGAAAAAGAAAATAAAAAATAACAGAAAGACAATAAAGAAAATAAAAAATGAAAGCGAAAAAGAAAACAGAATAAAAATGAAATAAATAAAGCAGAAAATAAAATAGGAATATAAAATTAAAAAAATGAATGAAAGAAAGAAAACAGTAAAATTGAAATAAAGAAAGGAGGAAAAGGAAAATGAAATAAATAAAGAAAGAAGTAAAGAATGAAAGCAAGATAGAAGGAAAACAAGATAAAAAAGAAAGAAAAAGCAAATAAAATAAAAAGTATTAAAGAAAAAACAAAATATGAAAGGAAGAAAGAAAATAAAATAAAAATGAAAGAAAGAAAACAAAAAATGAAAGAAAAAGAAAGAAAATATAATATGAATAAAATAAATAAAGCAGGAAATAAAGAAGGAAAAATATAAAAACTGAAAGAAAAAAAGAAAAAATGAACGAAAGAAAAACGGGAAACAAAATACGAAATGAATGAGAGAAGGAAAACAGAATAAAAATGAGAGAAAGAAAAAAGGAAAAGAAAAAATGAAATAAAGGCGGTAATAAAGAATGAGAATAACATAAAAATGAAGGAAAGAAGGAAAACAAAATAAAATTAAAAAAAGAAAGAAGGAAAACAGAATAAAAATGAAAGAGAAAAAATAAAAGAAAAAACGAAATAAAAACGAAAGAAAGAAAACAAAATTGAAAGAAACAGGGAAAGCGAAATAAAAAATGAGAAAAAGAAAGATAAAAGGAAAATAAAATAAAATAAAGAAAGAATGAAATAAAGAAGGAAAACAAAATGACAAAAAAAAAAAAAAGAAAACAAAATGAAAGATGAACGAAAGAAAAAAGAAAAATTGAAAAATAAGAGAATGACATCAAGAGTGAAAGAAAAAAGATTCAGAAAAAACAAAATGAAGAAGTAAATATGCACAAAAATAAAAAAGGGGAAAAAGAATGAAAATATAGAAAAAAAAAGGAACGAAAGAAAGAAATTTAAAAAAATAAAAAAAATTAATGTAAAACCGAATAAAACAAATTCTAAAAGAAAGGAAGTTAGCGAAAGAGAAAGAAAATGAAAATGGGAAAAAAAGAAGAAAAAACGAGGATTACGAAATAAATAAAAAGAAAAAAGGAAAGAAGAAAAGAATAAAGAAACAACAACAAAAAATGAAAAAGAAAGGAAGGAAGAAAAAGAAACGTAGAAAGAAAAAAAACAAAAAAGTAAAAGAAGAAAAAATACGAAGAAAAGAGGAAAGAAAGAAAAACAAGAAATGAAAAAGAAAGGAAGGAAGAAGAAATGACGTAAGAAAGTAAGAAAGGGGAAAAGAAAAAAAAACTAAAAAAGGAATAAGAAAGGAAGGCTGGAAGGAAAAGAAGAAAAAGAAAGAAATAGAAACGATAAAAGAAAGAACAAAAAATAAATGAATCTTTGGAAAGAAACCTTGAAGAAAGGAATGGATAGCTTAGTAGTATATAAGAATCAACGAATGGAAATCGGAATTGGCCCACTCGTAAAAAAAATAAGGAAAATTGTATCAAGAAAACAAATTAGCATTCTTTAGACCTTTCTTAAGCCAAGACATTTGTCAGAATCGAAAAATATTGATCTTCTTATCGATTTAGAAGAAGGTCCTGTTCCTAATATCAATAGGTCAAAATCGTTCCTTTACTTTTAAAAGAAGCAACTATCAAAATGGATAGCGTTGACTTTCCAAATCAAACGAAAGGTTACGAAAGAAGTTCCCATCAGTACTGGAAAGAGCGATAACAGTTAGTGGACTTGAGAAACCTGTTTTCTTAAATAACTGTTTGAAGAAGAAAATTCTATAAATTCTAACCGACAGTCATACTAACTGTTCGTTCAATGAATGTCGAATGTTTCCTTATAAGGAAACGGATGATCTCGTCATTCCAAATTCAATTACAGGATCTTCTTCCTGCTATTGGAGGAACGCTTCCTTGGTTGACAATGTCTTCAGGTGTGTAGCCGTACTCACCACACTTAGCCAATGGCGGGTTGGTTAGGCTATTTCATCCCTAGTTAGTTAGATTCCGGGCATATTTGAGGAGGTACTGATAAATTCTTAACTGATATATATATATATATATATATATATATATATATATATATATATACAAATATACAAAATAGGTAACTATACTGTTTCGAAAAAACCCTCGAATTTTGATTTGCCACTAATCAAATCAATCTCGAGGAAAAAAAGGATTTAAAAAAAGAAAGAGCTACAAACTTGAATTTCTGCCGGCAAAAAAATCGCACAGATGCAGGTTTGAAGCCCAAAGAAAAAAACCCGACACGAGTAAACAACTAACTAACAAAAGAGCTCAATACAACCGTAGAGCAGACCTAGATAAACGTACCTAGGTTTCACCTAAACGGATCGTCAGGGAAAATTGGCTAATTTTTAGGTGAAACCTAGGTAGGTTTGTCTGGCTCACTAGGCTTATATATATATATATATATATATATATATATATATATATATATATATATATATATAAATAAATTAGGAAAAGTTCAAGTGTCTTATCTGATTAGCCGAATTAAGAGCTTCGCGTCGAAACACTCATGGTTTGATAAATTTTGCCCTGATGAGCGTGTTGACGCAAAGATCTAGAGTCGACTAACCAGATAAGTCTCTTCAACTGTTCTTCCTTAATTGAATATCATATATATATATATTTCTTCTTATTATTATTATTAATATATCTCTCTTTTTGGCACAAATTTTGCTCGCATGTAAAACCCGTAAAATTCTCTTGATTTTAACACATTTTCTGACTTGTTTTATTACTATACACAAATATACAAAAGCCTGCGCGCGCACACGCACACACACACACACACATATGGTATTTTATCTGTGTGAGCATATAAATTTCTTTTGATGTTTTAATTTATCCCAATAATTTTTCATGTATAAAGTAAGTATATATACTTAAAGCATAAATTAAATAGAATAAATTAAAAAAGTACAATTTAATAAAATCAAATCATGCATGAAAAAATATTGGGATTTTTATTTAAGTAATGTCCTTTTAAACGCTGCAAGAAAATTATAAGACTTTTAAAGTCTTTATATAATATATCTTATTCGCCAACGTTTGTATATTTATTTTATTTATCTAATGACAATAGCTTTGTGAACACACAAAATGCGTACGCATTTTGTGACTCATTATATATATATATATATATATATATATATATATATATATATATATATATATATATATATATATATATTTGTTAACGTTGCTATGGTGGAATTTTCAATTATCCATAAATGAATTTAAAAAAAAATGAACCAATTATAATAGATTATCCCAGGAAGAATTTTTACCCTTTTTTAAAAAAATGATAATGCCTCTATATTTATTTCAGGCGACGTCCCACGTAATCAGCCAATCAGTTTACCCCAGCTGAATCACGTGATTTTTAAGCGAGATGAACGCTCCCAGACGTTCTTCTTCTTCTTCACTTTTGTGAGTTTTATAAATGTTGTTCGTCCCAACCTAATTTAGGGTCTCATCACACTGGATTGATTTGTAATGGTCGATTTCTGCATGCGGGCCGTTGTACAGTTGAGTGCTGTGGATTATACATCTATGAGGTTTAGGGGTTAGGTTGGTTACCGTGTTGTGTGTATGTGCAAGCGTGTAAGGCTCATACGCATCTTAAGGGAGAGTTTTGGATACGTTTTATTGCCCGTATGTTCAATGTCGCCTGATTGTATGTGCATTTCGGCTTGAATTTGCGAGTTTATTCAAAGTATGGTTGGGGGTATGCGTTTGCGTAAAAGCAAATCCACTGCGTGCTTGTGGAGTTAACTAAAGTGATTATACAAAAAATAGACGGAGTTAGAAAGAAAGAAAGAAAGAAAGAAAGAAAAAAGAATAAAGAAAAAGAAAGAAAGAAAAAAGAAAGGAAAAAGAAGAAAGAAGAAAGAAAAAAGAAAAGAAAGAAAGAAAGAAAGAAAGTAAAGTAAAAAGAAGGGAGACGAAAATAGAAAAGAAGAAGATCCAAAAGAGGTAGGAAGATAAAAGGGGATAAAAATAGGGGAAGAGAGATGGAAGAAAAATATAAAGGTAAAAAGGGTGAGAAAAGTAAAGAGAGATAAAAGAGAGATGAAAGAAGACAAAACTATTGAAATAAAAGAGAGAGAGGGAAAGAGAAATAAATATAGATATCAAAGCGAGAGGAAATGAGATAAATATTGAAATTAAAGACAGAAGAATGTTAGATAAAAGAGAGAGAGAGAGAGAGAGAGAGAGAGAGAGATACGGAGGGAGAAGAAAAAAGAGTGGGAGAAATAGGTGCTTGGGAAGTTAAAATTACATAAAGAACAAGCGAAACAAACAAACGAAAATATACATAGATAGCGAGAAGGAGAGAGAGAGAGAGATACTAGGAGAGAGAAAGAGAGAGAGAGACTGTGAGAGAGAAAGACAGAGAGAGAAGTGAAGAAGAAATTGGAAACAGAGAAAGAACGATGAAAAGAAACACCTAATACAGAGAAGGGAGAAGAAAAACATGGCGAGACAAAAAGACAGGCGGGAGAGAGAGAGAAAGAGAGAGAGAGACAGACAGAAAGACAGACGTGATAAAATAAGGGAAAGTGGAAGAAAGAGAAAAGAGGAAGCCAAAGAGAGAAAGCGAGAGAGAGTGAAAGAGAGAGAGAGAGAGAGAGAGAGAAGTGATAGAATAAGGGGAAGTGTGAGAAAGAGAAAAGGGGAAACCAGAAGGAGAGAGAGAGAGAGAGAGAGAGATCAAGAGAGAATGAGAGAGAGAGGGAGAGAGACAGACAGACAGACATGATTGGCTAAGGGGAATTGGGAGAAAGAAAAACAGGGAAAGCCAGAGAGAGAGAGAGAGAGTGAGAAAGAGATAGAGAGACAGACGGACAAACAGACAGAAGTGATAGAATAAGGGAAAGTAGAAGAGAAAAGGGGAAGCCAAAGAGAGAGATGGGGAGAGAGAGTGAAAGAGAGTGAGAGAGAGAGAGAAAGAGAGAAGTGATAGAATAAGGGGAAGTGGGAGAAATAGAAAACGGGAAGCCAGAAAGAGAGAGAGAGAGAGATAGAGAGAGAGTGAGGGAGACAGACAAACGGACAGAGAGAAGTGATAGAATAAGGGGAGGTGGGTGAAAGAGAAAAGGGGAAACCAGAGGGGGAGAGAGAGAGAGGTAAACAGAAAATGATATAGAGTGAGAGGGAATGAGATAGGGACATAGAGAGAGAGAGAGAGAGAGAGAGAGAGAGAGAGAGAGAGAGAGAGAGAGAGAGAGAGGAGAAAATCAAAAGAGAAAAAGAAGAATAATAAGCTGAGGAAAATGGCAGAAAGTGAGAAAATCCCGCTCATATAAAGATTGGTTCCATATCCATGGAACGATCAAGAAGTTTCAATTTGTTATGCGCGGATAAACAGACCAATTATAATTAGATTTTGAAAATATAAACTTCGCAAACTGAGGTTCGCATAGCGTCAGCAAACTTGGAAGAGATTTTTTGTATCCGCGTCTGCGAACAAGTATTATTTGTGCGCATGCGTACATAAGTTAAATGGTGGCAGTTGGCATACATTTGTTATCCTTAAAGATGGGTCAGCCCGTATATGTTGTTTTCTCGTTGAATAAAACATTCTCATGGATTTGAGAAGAAGAATTAAAGATGGAAAAAATCCGAGGAGAAAAGAAAGAATAAGACAATAGAAGAAGAAGAAGGGGAGGAGAGTGTAAACGAAGAAGGTGGTGAAAAGAAGTGGTAGGAAGGAAAGAGAAGATGGAAGGAGAGGAAAGAAATAAAAAAAGAGATGCGAAGATAAACTAAGAAAGAAGATAGAAGAAAAATAGAGAAGAAAAACAATATTAAAACGAATCAAAGGGTGAAGAAGAAGAAGAAGAAGAAGAATATGGAATATGGACTGGTGAAATACAGAATGAAGAAGAAGTCGAAGAAGAGGAAGAAGAAGAAGAAAAAGAAGAAGAAGTAGTAAGTAGTAAGAATATGGGCCGGTGAAATACAGAATGAAGAAGAAGAAGAAGTCGAAGAAGAGGAAGAAGAAGAGAAAGAAGAAGAGGAAGAAAAATGAAATATATGGAGCAGAAGAAGAAATGCAGAATGAAGAAGAAGAAGAAGAAGAAGAAGCAAAATGTGGGCTGGTGAAATGAAGAAGTAGAAGAGAACGAAGAAGAAGAATGAAATAAATGGCGGGCCGAAGAAATGCAGAACCAAGAAGAAAAAGAAGTAGTAAAGAAGAGTGATCCACAAAAATGCATGCAAGGACATGGCCCAGAGAGAGAGAGAGAGAGAGAGAGAGAGAGAGAGAGAGAGAGAGAGAGAGAGAGAGAGATTGGGGTGGGAGTGGAAATAATGGAGAATGATAAAACGAGTTGACGAAGAAGATATGCTGTGGAGAAAGAATCAGAAAGAGGAAGACAATAAACAGAGAGAAGATGAAAGCGAAATGAAGAAAACGACGAAGAAGGCGCGAAAAAGAAGAAAATAAAGAAATAAAGGAGAAGTGAAAAGGAAGAAGAAGAAGAAGAAGAAGAAGAAGAAGAAGAAGAAGAAGAAGAAATGGTAAGTAGAAAAAAAATAGGACAAAAGAAAATGGTGCATAAAAAAAAAGTTGGCGAAAATCGAGAGCAAAAAGAAACGAGATATGAATGGACCAAAAGAGACAAGACAGGAATGATGAAGATAATGGTACTGAGGCGATAAAAAGACGGAAGCAAGTATGACACTGCTTCCCGACTCCGCCAACCCCCTCAATAATAATAATAATAATAATAATAATAATAATAATAGGGATTAACGGTTAAAATCCAGCCAATAAAAACATCAGGAATGGTGAAGAAAATATATCAAGTTATCTGAGTTTTACGAGGTATCGCCCATTTCTAAGCTAAGGAGAATTGCCATTGTCTGGAATCTTTTCCCTGTGTTTTTTTTTCTATTTATACTCATGACCCTTTATTGTGTCGACGTTTACGACACACAGACACTGGGTGGGACAGAGTGGACATGCAGTGGTCGTGGAGTAACTAAGGTGAGTGTCTCATTGAAGCTGTATTTTGTAAGGGTCAGCCTTCAGCCTCCTGTCTGGCCGACAGAATTTTTGTATTTTCACACGACTTATTTCTTTGCGACAGAACCACCCGTCTATCTGTCTGTCGGGTTGGGTCCCTTGCCTGAAATTGCATGTCACAGAATTCGTTTCTTTAAGGATTTTTTTTCTATCTGTCTGTCTATTTTTCAATATCGACGCTGGGACGATCGTACATTCTGTCTATCAATTAATAAAGGAAGCAAACAAAAGTCGAATAAAATAATATTTAAAGCTGTAACGAAAATTAAAAATAAAGAAGGCGTTGTTTTAGAATCGAGAGATTTTCATTGTCTTCACTTAGCTTGGCTAATCTGTCTTTAAAAATCATCTCATCCCAAGCAAGGTAATAAAAGCCACTAGGACGCAATGGGTAACAGAGAAGGAAAGAAATAAAGAGGACATTACAGGAACAAGATTCGAGGAGATAGAAGATGACGATTGACATTGGATTTAAATTTTGAAGATCGCTGATGACAGGAAACTAGAAAGGCGGAAGAGAGTTCTACAAGCGAGAAGTGCGATAGAAGCGAGAAAAGAAACTATTACGATTAGAACTAGCCATATTAGGTGGTACGGTGGATAGCGACTCGGATTGAGGAATCGGAGAGCCGAGTTTGAATTTCAGACGGATCCATTACATTCTCTCTCTCTCTCTCTCTATATATATATATATATATATATATATACTCCCCTTTCTCTGTCTATATATATACTCACTCTCTTTTCCTCGAACGGCGTTTCGTGGTTACAGCGCCACATAATATGTCGTCACGTGGCGCTATATGAGGAAGACGGTGTTGTTTCTTCACCGGTTGTACGCCATATTGGATTGTGCTACATTCGCTATCTCTCGTTTGTGTCATTTTTTGGGTGGAACTTTCTGCCCTTCATTATGGCTCCCAAGCGTTAGGCAGTTCCGACCAACAGGTTATATCACATCGTAGGAACGGATCCTCGACATAATTCGAAGAGCCCCTGTATATACGTCGTTTGAAGTAAGAAGTAACAGTTTTTGTCCTTGGCTGATGACAACCATAGATTAAAAACTACTGTGACGAATAATTAGCGACTTTAGTTAATTAATGACTTGTCTGAGAACGTTAGAAAATGTTTAAGGTCAAAGGTCTCAAAGGTCAAAGATGACATCGGCCGAAACGCATTGTTAAAAAAAAACAACTTTTTGTTGTATATCCGATGTGTTCTATGTGTTAGCGGAAATCGGAACTGGTGCATAAACCTCGGTGGCTAAAATAAACAGGACGCACAGGTGTCCTCCTTAAATAAAAGGGTTTCTGTCCTGAGCGGAAGGAAAATCGCATGCGGAAACTCGAGGCGACAATACCGGAAGATATTTTTAAATGTTATTTACCGGTCCGATTCATATATAAGATTTGTCTTCATCGCCTCAACCCTAATTTGATCCCAATCGCTGCAACTCGAACAATAAAGATATTTATATACATATATATGTGTTCGCCGCCTCATTTGATCCCAGCAGCAATATACTACACTTTACACAACTCGATTTTTTTAAAAACTCATCTTTGAACTGCCATGACCTTTTGGGAAACTCAGTGGAATGATTTCCTGTAACCTTTTCCGTAAGTTGGAAATCATAGTTTGCTGTCTCTTAGACTGACTACCATCCAAGGATAGAGAGCATACTCTACTATTTAACCCATTCTTAGAAGCCATGTCCCTTCAGGACGTGGGTGATGATGACTCTCCACAGATTCCTCTTCTTCATTATTTTTGAATTACTGTGCCATTTTGGAGAATACAGTGGTGTGGTTTTATCGTTACCTTCTCCATGGTTTGAAATGCAGAGGTTTCCACTTCAAGGCTAGAAAGCCCAGTCTACCCCTTATTTCACCCAAAGCTAGGGGAACGAAAGATGGATTAATGCGTTTCCCAAGGGTATTAGTGCGATATTGAATGCTGGAGACTAAACCAAAAATTGAACCTTGCCCACCGATTACGCCTTCCACGTTCAAATTGTGCTAAAACGACAATGACTAAGTTAAGAATTAAAGATAATCTTGGTTGGAGAATACGTCGGTCGAAATAGAGAAGGTTTCATGCGTACATATATAATCCCAGGTGCGTTTTGAAAAAGCAAGTCGACGTCTAAACACGATTTTAAGAAAGTTTCTTTTTTTCTGAGTTAGATGTTTGACAGTGGTTGTCTTTTATTGACGGACGGGAAAATGGATCTTACAGAATGAAATCTAAAATAATAAAAAAAGAACGAATGAAAGAAAGAAAGAATACACCAAGTAAAGAAATAATGACTGAATGAATAAAAAAGAAGAAAGGATGAATAAACGAACGAACGAATGAAAAAATGAAAAGAATGCATCAAGGAAAGAAAAAAGAAAAAAAGATATAAAGAATGATTGAGTGAATAAATACTTAAAATGAATGAAAGAAAGAAAGAAAGAATGAACGAAAAATAGAATGAAAAAGAAGAAAGAAAGAAAAGAATGCATGAAAGGAAAAAAATTATGAAAGAAAGAAAGAAGGAAAAAAAGAAGGAAAAAATTATGAAAGAAAGAAAGAAGGAAAAAAAGAAGGAAAAAATTATGAAAGAAAGAAAGAAGGAAAAAAAGAAGGAAAAAAATTATGAGACAAAGAAAGAAGGAAAAAAAGAAGGAAAAAAAGAAGGAAAAAAAAGAAACAATGATTGAAAAAAAAACTCAAAGGAAAAATAGAATGAAAGAGGGAATGAATGAAAATAAATAAATAAGCAATGAACGAAAATAATATGCCAAAGAAAGAACAATAGCAGTAATGTGTGAAAGAAAAAAATGAATGAAAAGAATGTGTTGATGAAAGAAAGAAGAAAGAAAGAAAGAAAAAAGGAAAGAAAAAATCATTGAAAAATCTTCAAAGGAAAAATAGAATGAATGAAAGATGGAATGAATGAAATTAATTAAATAAATAAACAATGAAAGAAAATAATACGCCAAAGGAAAAAGAATCTAAATAATGTGTGAAAGAAAAAATGAATGAAAAAATGTGTTGATAAAAGAAAGAAAAAAGAAAGAAAGAAGGAAAGAAAAAAAGAAACAATAATTGAAAAAAGCGTCAAAGGAAAAATAGAATGAATGAAAATAATTAATTAAATGAAGAATGAATAAAAATGATACGCCAAGGAAAGAAAGAGTGAAAATAATGCTTGAAAGAAAAAAGGAATAAAAGAATAAATGAATTAATGAGTGAAAAAAATCCGTAAAAATAGAATAAATGAATGAAAGAAAGAATGAATGAAAATAAAGGAATAAAAACTGAATGAATGATAACAATGCGTGAAAGAAAAAAGAAAGAAAGAAAGAAAAATCAAAGTCCCATTTGTTGAAAATCGGGTCATTGATTGATTGAAACATTATGTATCGGTTGAAAAAAGAAAAAGAAAAAAAAAAAAAAGAAAAAAAAGCCATCATTGAAATGTCAATTCGGACATCACTGACCGCTTTACTCCTTCGTTAGGATCCAACCATATTTGCATTTAACTAAAGTAAAGCAACGTCAAGCAGATCATTATTCATATGGGTAACCCCAAGGGAGAAAAAGATATCGAAAGGTGGAGATTGACACTTCGCATTGTCAACTGTAGTTACAGACGAGGTTGGTGATACTAATCAACGTTGATGGTATTAGTCATATATGTGGCCCTGGGAATGACGTTGGGCTGGAATCTGAATTTGTGACTGGAAGAAAAATGGCGGCAATAGGACTAATGGAAAACAAATATGATTTTCTGTTGGATTTTGAAGGAGCTTAAAAATGATGAGGTGTTGAATAATTGGGACAGACGTTAATCTATTTATTCTTTCTTTATTTCTTTCTTTCTTTCTTTCTTTCTTTCTTTCTTTGACGTATACGTTTCTTTTTTCTTATATTCTTTCATTATTTTGACACATTGTTTTCATTCCTTCATCTATTTTTTGATTTCTTTCTTCTTTTTTATCTAGGGCATTGTTTTCATTCATTTATCATTTATTTCTTTCTTGGCCGCATTCATTCACTCATTCATTCATTCTTTCTTTGGCGCATTATTCGTTCGAGGGTCAAAATGAATTTCAACTTCACCCACCGCATCGCATATGAATCAAAATTTTAGTGTCGATAACTCCCAAAAGGTAGATTTTATCAAAATTTCTTTTATTATTTTCGAATTAAGCATGTACATTTACCCCTAAATGGAACTATTTGAGAAATTTTTTATTAGAAAATGAGCACGGGGCTTGAACTGCAAATTACCCTCGAGTTGAAATTAGTTCTGTTACTCATTCGTTCACTCATTCTTTTTTTTTCTTTCTTTCTTTCTTTCTTTCTTTCTTTCTTTCTTTTCATTCATTCTTTCTTTCTTCGACTCATTTATTTATTCATTCTTGCTTTGACACATTCATTCGCTCATTCATTCTTTTTCTTTCTTTCCTAATTTTTTTCTTTCTTTGATTCATTCATTCTTGCTTTGTTTCTTTGAAATATTCATTAGTTCATTCATTCATACTTTTTTCTTTCTTTCTATGATGCATTCTTTTCTATCTTTCTTTGACATATTTTTCATGATTTATTTTTCTTTCTTTCTTTCTTTCTTTCTTCCTTTCTTTCTTTCTTTCTTTCTTTCTTTTCTAATTTATCTTAACATCCGCTATACCTTTTCTGTTCATTCTTTCACCATTCTTCTTTCTTTCTTTCTTTCTTTCTTTCTTTCTTTCTTTCTTTCCCGTCCTGGGTGTGGCGATAAACTACATCCGTGTCCTGGGTAAGACGATAAGCTACATCCAACAGGAGCAGGAGGATTTGAGGAGCATGGAACCACCTCTTAATTGCAGGTGTTCTCAGGTCCACACTGACGTGGGGTGGTAGCACCTGTCAGGGCTCCATCCATGGGCAAATAGTTAATCCTCTAAAAGGGGTGAAAACACTATGAAAGTATAAAAATAGGTTTTAATACTTTTTTGGAAAAATTATTACCAGCAATACATTTTTGGAAAAAAATATTACTAGCAAAAAAAAAATAAAAATCTTGTCGGCATTAAATAACCCATTGAGGTGTTGATATACCGTAAAACGAAAGAAACAAACTAAACCAAACTTTCTTTCTGTCTTTCTTTCTTTCTTTGATGCTTTTATTCGGTCTGTTATTTCAGATTTGATTCCTTCTCATTTGCTTATATTGGCTTTCGTTCACTCTTTCATTTAACTATTCATTTTCATTCGCATTCATTTCTTTCTTTCTTATTCGCCGTCTTTCTTTCATTTTTCCCTTCCTTCTTTTTACCAGATTTCCTCTTTCTTTTTTCTTCGTTTTTCTTTCTTCTGGGCTCTACCCACCCTAAAATCCCCTCTCTTTCATCATACTTCTCTCCCCATCTCTGTTTTCCCAATGAATATCTTAATAAGCATGGAGAATTAATTAAACGCCCTCGTGCAGACATACCTGCACATATACACAGGCAACACACACGCACACACACACACACTTGTGAAGAAACGCACAAAACACATAACCTGGATCTCTTGCTTCAAAAGCTACCATTATTTGTGAAGAAATGCCGTTTGCGCATGCGTATTTGTGTTTGTACATGTGTACGATGGGAGGGTGTAACAACCTAACCAATGAGACATCAGAAAATTGAAACTATAATTTTGTTACTTATTATCTCTCGTTTCCTTGTACCATGAAATAATTTATGGAGATGACATTCAGAAGTAGCGTGTCCTTGATTTTGGGAGGTCTTCTCATGCCTAATGAATTATTTTTTCTGTTAAGCTTGTTGCTTGTTAACCATCACCCGTGATTGTTTATCGAGTTCAGATAAATACAAGGATTATGAATGACGGTTTGTTTAATATTTCTTGTTAGAGCGGATTATTATTGTTGACGGCGGACTAATGGATAGCGGCTCTGATTGAGGAATCGGAGAGCCGAGTTCGAATTCCAGTCGAATCCATTACATTCACTTACGTGCTAATACCCTTGGGAAAAGGTACGAATCCTCTTCTTCTCCCTGCAGCTATGGGTAAATAGCAGGACAGACCGAGTTCTATAGCTTTGGATGGCCTTGGTCTACCGCAGAAAGAAATGGCAACCTACTGCTGGAAAAAATCTGCCTCGTCAGTAATGTATCAAAAGATATATGATCACCTAAGCGTGTATCACGCATGGCACATAACTAACTGACTGAGTATTCAAATGAATTGCACTTTAATTTTGGATTTGAATTTAGGCCCAGATTAACATTTAATATTGAAAATAAGAATTATAAATTTAATTTAAAAACAGACGCTGTCATTAAAAAGACACTAAATAACTTACATAAATCTGTATAATTTAAGTTGTCCAACGACTTTGGCATATAAGGATATTTTTGACAAACATAAAAGCAAATATGTAGAAACACTAGAACATAGTAACCGTAAAATTAACCTCGAATTCTTACGCGCAATAGCAATAATGACATCAACAAACTAAAACGTCCCAAACGCAATATAATATCGCTTAGATCGCCTTTCAACCAGAATGTCAAGTCTACTATTGGAGAAAACCTTTTTTAATCCATAAATACTTCATTCATTTCCCAACGCTGAATAAGATTTTCAACAAGAACAACGTCGAAGTTAGCTACAGACGTACCAAAAGCATCGTCTACTGTATATTACAGTACAACTGTTCCATTCTAAACAAACACCTCAACAACCTACAAAACAGTAGCAACTCCACAACTAAGGAATGCAACTACCGAAAAAAAGACACAAAAAACCCTGCCTATTAAACGGCAGATGCATGACCAAATCTCTTAAACAAGAGAAGTGAGTTAATGATCACCTGCTTGCATAGTACCAAATTTCTACTCAAGCACGTTGACCAAGATTAATATAACTTAGCCGGACCCTGGGTCCACAAATACTAGTATTGATATTATTTATTATTGTCATAACTATTTCTATTAATGTTTTTACTATCTTTACTATATAACTATTGTTATTGTTATTATTAGACTGTAATACATTTAACATTTATACTAATTTATTATTTTCATTGTTACTATTATTACTATTTTTATTATATAACAATTATTATTATTGTCTTTTATTTTTAATCTTGACGTTATTTAACTTCTTTCTTTAAATTTTACTCCTCATTCCCACTCTAGGCCCTTTCCTTTTCTTCATCTTTCTTTACACCTCTCTGTATATCTTTCATACATTTCCCTCTCATCCTTGTTTCTCACTCCCACATATACAATATCAATGAAATCTTGTTTTTTTAAACCCGGAGATATATTTTTTGTTTTCTTTTTGAATTTACCAGGTCTGATGAATTTAGTAGAGTAAATCATAAAGAAATTTCATTTTTAATAAACCACATTGACATATAAAAAATAATTAAAAAACGATTTACTTTATTAAAAATAATTAAAGACAAAAAATTGCTTCATATTTTACGTAATGCTTTAAAAAAATATTCACTAATTAAGGTTTTAGTCCTTAATAAATTACTTTTATTCGGTTATAAAGAAGTTATGTTTTTCTGGTGCTGAGTTGTCTCGATCCAGAATTATCTCGGTCCTGAGTTGTCCCGGTGCTCAGTCAGCGGTGTTGAGTCGGCTTGAATCCATCTCTTGATCTTAACACATTGAATTAGTATGGGATCAATTGGATAGGAGAGTTCGAAGAGAATACCCAAAGTGTGAGCGTGAGCTTTTTCAGTGTTTGAAGAATGCTTGGAAAGGTTTGCCATCTACCTTTTTTTTCCCCAAAACTGTTGGAAAAAATGTCAAAAATTCCGCGCGTGACCTTTATTTGAACCAGTGTGGCAGCCCAGCTTGCTCAAGAATAACATCTGCAGAATGATTATACGAGGCGGGTGGGGGGATTGAAAAATTCATAGGTTGACTATGAAGGAGTGATGGTAGAGTTATAAAATATTTCATGCATTAATTTCAACTCTACTTATTAATAACTGCATTGTCAGTTTTCCCAGTCATTTGGCCCTGATAGCGTTTCATAACTGCCTCTGAGAGTTGGCATAGTACTCTCCATTGATGGCGTGTCCCTTGTGAAGCTAGTCAATAAACACAATGCATTTTGCATACCAAAAAAACAAAAACCCCAAAAAACAAAAAAAGCAACTCCGCCAAAACACCGAGGACATAAACTTCCTTGCAGATTAAACAACATTGGCCTTCTTTGGAGTAGATAGATAGATAGATAGATAGATAGATAGATACTGGGTTAAATGGATATATAGATATATAGATAGATATGGAGAGATTGGGTTCGATAGATAGATAGATATTAACAGATTTATATAGAAATAAACAGATTGAAAAATATATGAACATATTCTGATAGATAAACAGAGAGATAAATAGATAGATAATGATGAACAAAGATAGGTTGATAGATAAATAGATAGATATAAACAGATTGAGATAGATGTATATACAGATAGATATGAACATATATATATTAACAGATAAATGTAGATATGAACAGGCTGTGAGAGATAGATAGATAGATAGATAGATAGATAGATAGATAGATTGTGATAGACAGATAGATTGTGATAGACAGATAGATATGTACAGACTTAGATATGTACGGACAGATAGATAGATAGATAGATAGTGCAAACTGAAATAGATAGATAATGTGCACAATGAAAGAGATATATAGATAATGTGCAAACTGAGATAGATAGATAGATAGATAGATAATGTGCACAATGAAATAGATAGATAGATAATGTGCAAACTGAAATATTAGGTTGGTGCAAAAATAATGACGTAATAATGTCGTTTTTTGACGTAACGTCAAAAAACGACATTATTACGTCATTATTTTTGCACCAACCTAATAGATAGATAGATAGATAGATAGATAGATAGATAGATAGATAGATGTGAGCAGATAGTGATATATGTTAAAATTAAAAATCGTGGACTTTTCCCTGTACCCTTAAAATTGAGCACACGATTCTATGACGAATATTCAACTACTACGCCCACCGAACAGTCAACGACCCAAATTAAATTTATACATGTTTAAGTATAAAATAATACCGTGAAGCTGTCTTCGATATTGTCAAATCTATTCATTTGCGAGGGAAAATGGCTTCGTATCACTGTGAATTCCATCTAGAATAAAGTCATAAAATAGACAGTGATAATGATTAATTGTCGTTTGCGCATTCCTTCGTATCCAGGAGGGAAGATGTCACCGACTAGACATTGCACTTCGCCCCGTTTTTTTTTTCGCTAATTAAGCTAACAAGACAAAACTAAGTGAACCTACGGCGGAAGAACAAACACGATAACGTCGTCAAAGCTCACAACACTTGGGACGAGAGAAAAAAGACTGTTTACTATGACAAATATTTGTCGCCTGATATTGTAGCTTTTTTGAAAGACGTGCCATTCCGATTTGCAAGTTCCCACCAAGCTTCCTAGTCCAATTTTGCTTATTCAGACCCCCCACCTCCCACGATTCGTCAAACCGTGTCATGAATGAACCTTTCTCTCGGTTGAGGATGTCTCATGAAAATGTCTAAAGATGGAGGATGGTAGGGAAAAAAAAATTAAGCCGTATGAATGAATGACAATTAAGACACACAACAAATTGATGAAGGAAAGAAAAAGAAATAGAAACATACAGACAGACGCGCACACTCCCCCCCCAAATACCCCCAATATTTAATAAAAATAAAAAACAAAACACAAATGGGGGTAGCCTTAACTTTTAGCCAATTTTTCCGTGTTAACTTTTGAGCAACACGGTTGGCTCATGGCATAAATATTTTTTAACTGTTGTCTTTTAAAATTTCAGTTAGTCAAACTTTATTGCCTCGTAAAGAAATGAATAATAGTTTATATATATATATATATATATATATATATATATATATATATATATTACGATAAACGTGCAATCAATTTACAAATTCATGAATTATTCACACAAAAACAAATGCAAAGGTTAATGATTTAATTGGCGAGAAATCCATCGTCGCAAATATATATATAAGTGAACATAGAAGTAAACACTTAGAGGCGACAGCCTGTTTCATGCTAGACGCAATCGTCAGGCCACGAGTGCTGTTATTTTTCTCGGCTATTTATATATACGGGTCAGCGGTAGTCTATTTTGACGGTTATTTTACAGGAAGACGTTTATTTATTTGGGTTAAATTATTTTGCTTGTCATTATTTATTTTTATTTTTTATTTTTTATTTCTTATGTTATATATTTATTTTTTATTTTATTTTAATCGGTGTTTTCATTAGCGTAGTAAAAATTGTTTATATCGCTTATTAATTAGTTTTGTTTTATTTTGGGAAGATAATTAAAGCTATTTATTCAATTTTGTGGTTGATTGTTGTAGTTTATTCTAACTATTATTTTGGCGGGAGCAGTTTTTAATTTGTTTATTACTTTATGTATTTATTTGAATTGATTATCTTTATTTGTTTTTTCTAACGGTTAATTTATCGGGATCGGCTTGTTAGTTTGTTTATTTATATATTTGGATGAATTTAGATTAATTTATTTTACTTGTTTTTTATCATTTGTTTATTATACAGCATATTTTTATTTACTGTTTTCGGTTTTCGATTTTTAAGTAACGTAGTACTCGTGGCCTGTCGATTGGGTCTAGCATGAAACAGACTGTCGCCTCTAAGTGTTGACTTCTATGTTCACTTGTATATTTACACACGCTCTATCTCTGATATTGAGCACTTTATCCCATAGATATAGCACACCTTAAGACTATATATATATATATATATATATATATATATATATATATATATATATATATATATATAATACAGGTAATCGGTTGGTTCGTATATAATCCGGGTGTATCCTAGTAATGTTAATTCTTAAAACTGATCCACAGAGAGCTCGGTGTATTTATTATTACAGCAAAAAAAAAAAAAAAAAAAAATTGCCTGAACATATTTCAAGCCGTTCTGTACGCGGCTATCATCAACCCCTAAGTATCTGTCTCAGAGCGTTGTTTTAAATTTATTTAATTCAACCAATTTACGGGTTTAAGTTGAAATTCCCCCTCGCTTATTAATAATATTGATAGTAGTAGCCCTTGATGAGAAGAAGGAGTTTAGTGGGCATGCCGTCGGCCTCCATGATACGCCAGAGTGAGCCTCTATCAAGTCGAAAGCAGCCGTAAAGTCGACGAAGCAGAGGATTGTTGGTTGCTGGTATGCCCAGCGTTGTTTGAGGGTACGCTGCAGGCTGAAGATCTGATCAACACAGCCTCTGCCCAGGCGGAAGCCACCTTGAGACGGGCGAGTTCGCAGATCAGGATGCCTTGAAATCTTCGCAGGAGAAGCACTGCAAATACTTTGGCCACCATGTCGATGAGGCTGATTCCTCTGTAGTTCGAGCAGAGTCTCCTTTCACCCTTTTTGAAAAAAGGTAGCAGGATGTCCTCGCTCCAATCGACAGGGTAGGTCTCAGAGAGCCAGACCGCATTGAAGACACGATGCACCCACAAGGCAAATACATCTGGCCCGGCTTTATATACTTCTGCAGGTATACCATCCTCACCAGGAGCCTTGCTGTTACGCAGATGGCGTAGAATATCACGCACTTCATCTACCGTTGGCGGTGCAGTGTTGCAGTCGTATTCATCGGTCGGTTCAACGGTCAATTCTGTCGCCGGAGTCGGGTGATTGAGTAGCTCGTTAAAATGCTCTTTCCACCGATTTAGCCGCTCGCCCAGACCTGCCATAATAGCATCATCACGGGAGCGAAGCGCCTCACTCAACCCCGTAGTTCCGCGACTCGCCCGCCTCACCATCTGGTAGAGTTTGCGAGAGTCGCAACAGGCTGCTGCACGCTCAGTCTCTTCGGCGAAGGCGCGCCAATGCGCGTTTCGGTCAGCGCCGATGGAGTGTGTTGCGCGGCGTCGTAGATCGCGAAAGTTCGCAGCTCCTGTCAGTCGCGCTACCCTTGCCTCCTCCACCAGCCGAAGGCTCTCCCCGGTGATCCAGTCCCGATATCGGTGACGGGTGACACCAAGATGGGCGTGTGCCGCTTCGACGGTGGCAGATTTGAGAGCCTGCCATTCAATTTCTGGTTGAGGCTCTGAGCTTGGTTGGAGGAGAGAGAACTGCTTGTGAAGTTCCAACCTGAACTGTTCTACCACGCGAAGCTTCAGATTGGCGACGTTGATTCGCTTCAGGATATTGATGGATCTCCTTGCCCGCAGTCGCAGACGGAGGCTTACGCGGACAAGGGTATGATCCGATCCATGCGCACTGCCCTTATCTGCACCCCGATAGGCTCGAGAGTCAAGTACAGAGCTTCCATCTCGCCCGTACCAGAATGTAGTCAATCTGGTTGGATGTACGACCGTCATTGGAGCGCCAGGTGACGAGATGTCGTCGCGGGTGCTGGAAACGAGTGTTAGTCACCACAAGACGATTAGCGACCGCAAAGTTGACTAGGCAGTCGCCATTGTCACACCGTGTTCCGAGGGCGAATCGACCTAGAACATGACTGGTGCTTTCATCTGCCGGTCCTGTGCGAGCTTTCCAATCTTCCGCCACAACTAGAAGATCAGTGGAAGGGGTACGATCTACAACTGCTTGTAGGTCGCGGTAGAAGATGTCCTTGTCCTCCTTTGCTGCATTCAGTGTCGGTGTGTAGACGGAGATGACGGTGACGTTTATAACAGCGCCTTTGAGACGGACCATGGCCAGCCTGTGATGGACTGTGCTGCCCGTGCTAATGGGCTGAGAGCAATCGCCACTCCATACAGCCCGCTGTTGTCCTACACTTCACTATGGTAAATGTGGTAGACGCGGTCAGACTCTGGCACTTTGATTATTCTATGCCCGCTATCCAGGAGGCGGACCTCTGACATACAGGCGACACAAACACCATACTTGTACAGAGTCCTGACGGTGAGAGACTGCGTTCCTTCGTTACGAAGAGTGCGGACATTCCAGACAGCAATCTTCATCCCATCTCTTGTTGCAAGGACTGTGGTGGCTTGCTGATTTCTCCCCGGTCCCGCCGACCAGAAGACCGGCGCGTCGGATACACATGCAGCGGACGCCCTAGCATTATTCGTATTCTTGTTAGTAAAGGAAGATTCATTGGGATTTGATTAAGGGAAGGGTCTCAAGTCCTACCCGAGGGAAAGGGAAAAAAACGTCTTGTTTGCCGCAGATTTTCCACAGACACATTGATAGAGCGACCCGAGGCCAGAACAGACATCTCCTGGATTTTCACCAGAGCCCCTTTAGCCGGGTTGCGACCCTAATACCGCTGGGTGCCAGACCAATCCGCCTTGGGTGGCCCTACCAGGAACCGAACGTCCTGACGGCATAGCCCTGGCACTACCACGTTGCCACCGCCCTACAACGTTGAGGAGGGGGTTGGACTTTTAGGGCTGAATAAGAAAAAGACTCTAAATGAATTCGGCCTAGTCGCACTGAGCAGCTTTGATACAGCGAAACGGTACTGTCTGCGAATGACATAATTTAGCTCTTCAAAATTTCAATTGAACGCTGTTGAGTGATAAGCTAATTCTATAAGCAACAGCCACCTGCGTTAATGCAAAGCTCTTCATTAAAATGAATAGAGCACTCCGGCTGATTGACATTTGTTTACATTCGTAAAAAGAATGCACTAGATTTACCCGTTTCACTCTGCCGAATGGTAGAAGCTCTGACTGACATCAAATCGTTTGGGTTTCGATCCTGGCTTGAGGCATTCGGATATCTAGTCGCACTGAGGAGCTATGATACAGTGAAACAGTACTGTCGGCGAATGATATATATATATATATATATATATATATATATATATATATATATGCAAATACATATATATTCATGTAAAATAGATAGGTTAGTTAATGAAGCAAGGGCAAACGTAATGTTACTAATGTGATCAGTACGAAAAAAATATTAATTATTAAGCACAAGACAGAAATAAAGCACGTAAATTAAAGTTTTTAATTAACAGGGAACCTTAATTAAGAACTTTAATTTCCGTACTTCATTTTTATCTTGTGATTAATATTTAATAAATAAGGCTAAAGATTGTCCTGCTATTCAACCCATATCTGAAGGGGGGGGGAGAAGAGATGGATTCATACCTTTCCCAAAGGTATTTGTGCGTAAGTGAATCCAATAAACTTGACTAGAATTCGAATCTTCAAATTCTCAATCCAAGTCGATATCCATTACACCACAACGCAGATTGATATACTTTTCTTGTTTTATTTTATCGTCCTGTCGGATTCCGATTCATATTTGCCCTGCATTATGGTCAGTTTTAGACCCACTGGAGTGACAGGGTGTAATCGATTTCTATTTTTCCTCTGATTAGGTCATTTACAGTGGTGTATAATCAAATTTGTTTGTGATGGAAAAAGATTGCATCATCCGTGATTGCATCAAATTTTTATCATGCCCAGACACTATTGTCTCGACTGCCGATTAGTTGTCCTTCGGCCATTGTCTGCGATGGACGTTACTCCAATGAATCTTACGAAAATTTACCTTACCAGTGAGCAAATCAAAATACTATAGACTGGCCCGGAAACTCTCCTGATTTAAATCCAATCGAGAATATGTGGTCACTTGTAAGGAAGGAGTTCGTGGAATGGACATACGAAGTGCTAACATGTGCATTGGGTCATGTTTCATCTGAAAAATACGAAAAAAAAAATAACGCAATTATTCATTTTGTTTCAAATTAATTTGCACAACTGTCTGTATATATATATATATATATATATATATATATATATATATATATATATATATAGAGAGAGAGAGAGAGTTAGGGAGAGTTTGTATTACTAAAATAGGAAAGACATTTCTCTAAATAAATGAAATGTTTTGGCATCCTTCATGCCAGCAGAACCAGAATGTATATAAAAGGAAAATTGCAATTTGATGAACAAAACCAAAAGTTAATTCCAATCTCTAGAATTATTTAAATAAACTGTGTCCCCTTTACAGTCTTTCTCCCCTGTCTCCCACTCCCCACTCTCTCTCTTTATTAATTCAAAAGAAAGAGAAGAGCAAAAGAAACCCCTAAAGAAGTCCCCCCAAAACCCTGGCTTGAATATTTACTTATGAGAATTCAGCAATGGGATAATAGAAAGGGTCTTTGTCTGCCTACAGCCAGACGATTCTTTCTATGCATGCGTACCTGTATATAAATGGATTATTCCCGCCATTTACTGCCGATTTAAATGCATGAATATCCTATGCTTTGGCACTGAAACTATTATGACGAAACTGCAGGATTCGCCATTCTAGTGACACATGGGCGGCTATGAAGATTATTCTGTTTCTATTTTGGCGCTGCCTTTTATTTATTTATGAAGAATTCGTGTCTGTGTGGAGAGTAGGGATTCGTGGATCGTGCGAAGATTTCACTAACGGTAATTAACGAATTACCCACAACTTGAAGAGGAAGCAATGTGTGCACATGCGTTGAAGAACAGGTCCAGTGGGTAGTTTATGGGGAAAAGAATGTTTTTAGAAATCTGCCTCTTATCTATCTATCTATCTATCTATCTATCTATCCTTGACTTGAACAGGTCGATTTTAGTGATAGGGGAAGCATCCCTTTAGGAGTCGGTTCCATAAGTAGGTGTTTCTTGGAAAGAAGATGCTCAAGTGGAACTTACATCTCACCAAAGGGATACGAAGCGAATGAGAGGGGTTCGCTACAAAGGGCGTGGCATGGTAGGTCCTAGCAATGAAGCTTAGAACTGATTGGACTAAAGAATGCAGTTCGTTCGAACCCTTCCCATGGAAATAACGATAGAGTAGCGAAGAGAGGCAACGCTTCGTCCGTGGGAAACGAATTGTACGATGGAAAGCAGTTCATCACCCACAAGGACGCAGAGACATCTCTGGACCCTATCGACACTGGAAACAGGTAAATATATGACAGCAGCATTCTATCTTCGGCCTGATATGGTTCTTGTAAAGGTAGAGGACAACAGGAGGAGTTTGCTACTTACTGAAGCGGCACAGGAGACTGTCCATTTCCCCACCACCTTTAGGAGGCGCGGATTGAGGAATCAGTGGGCCGAGTTCGAATTCCAGTCGGATTCATTATATTCACTTACGTGTTAATACCTTGGGAAAGGTATGGATCCTCTTCTTTTCCCTACCTTCAGCTATGGGTAAACAGCAGGATAGACCGAGTTCTATAGCCTTGGTTGGCAACTGATCTAGAAGAAGGAAAACTCTGAATTTAAAACTGGTGTAGTACATACTATGCAGCTAAAAGAAAGGATCGTTCGCATTGGCTTGATGATCCAGACTACGGTCAAATAATGAAAGTGAAAAATCAATTGGTGTTGGTTCAACTTTATAGAGCTTATTTATTTTCGTCGATTATTTGGAAATCGATCCAGATCACTTTAGACTATTGGCTTTCGCGTTCAGTATTATTTTAATGACATACAATTGTAATGATTTTGAGTGCTGAGAGAAATCGGCATAGAGAGCTGTCTTCAACTATTATGAAAATGTTGTTATACAAATGTTGTTATGAAAATGTTGTTGCCATTAGTTTTTGACAACACCAAAATTTATCCTTCAATTGTTATAAAAATGTTGCTTTGAAAATGTTGTTAGCATTAGTTTTTGACAACCCCAAGATTTATCGTTCGACTGTTATGAAAATGTTGTTATGGAAATGTTGTTACGAAAATATTGTTACCATTGGTTTTTCACAACACCGGGATTTATCGTTCGACTGTTATGAAAATGTTGTTATGAGAATGTTGTTATGAAAATGTTATTATGGAAATGTTGTTACCATTGGTTTTTCACAACCTTGAGATTTATCATTCGACTGTTATGAAAATGTTGTTACGAAAAGGTTGTTATGAAAATGTTGTTATCGAAATGTTGTTATCGAAATGTTGTTAACATTGCTTTTTCACAACACCAGGATTTATCGTTCGACTGTTATGAAAATGTTGTCATGAGAATGTTGTTATGAAAATGTTGTTGCCATTGTTTTTTCACAACCTTGAGATTTATCATTCGACTGTTATGAAAATGTTGTTACGAAAAGGTTATTATGAAAATGTTATTGCCATTGGTTTTTGACAAATCCGAAATTTATCCTTCAACTTTTATGAAAATGTTGTTAGGAAAATGTTGTTATTGGTTTTGACAACCTCTAGATTTATCGTTCAACTGTTATGAAAATGTTGCAATTGCTTTTTGACAACACCGAAATTTATCCTTTGACTTTTATGAAAATGTTGTTATGAAAATATTGTTGCGATTGATTTCTGACAACCCCAGGTTTTATGTTTTTCAATGATAAAAGAAGATAAACAGATTCAAAATACAAAATAAAAAGAAATCTTTTTCTCTGTGGTTTGTGCAATGAAATAATATCCTGCCCCAATCTGACTGCTTTTCTATTCCACTTTTTGACTCAACCTATTTTTTGTCACTTTTAAATTAATGGTAAATGCAGCCAACTTCTCAACCTTCGTTACTGTCTGCCGGAATAAATTGTGTGAATATAAATCGGGGAACGGAAACCAAACAGAAAAAAATGGCGAAACGAAATGAGACAAAAGGATAATAAAAATGGAATTTTGACGGGTTTTGTTAGTAAAATGATTTTTTTTCGTTTCTATTCTTTTAATTTTTGTTCTTTTATTTTTTAATTTTTTTTTATAAAGGATCATTTG